ACCCAAAGAAATGTTGAAGATGGCCCATTAGCCTTTGTATCTTGCAAGACCAGAAACGAAAATTGCATTCCAGTCCTTGGTCTTTCGAGTATAAAAATTTTCGATTTTTTCAATTAGATCCCTAATTTAATTATAGTTTTGTTCCTAAACTTTATTTTTCTTTGTTTTTGACCCCTAATATTTGTAATAATTATATTATAACCCTAAATATTTTCTCAATTTTTGTAATTAAGTCCCTGACAGTTTTGATTTCTTAAATATAAGTTGTTTTTCTTCTTTAATTGTTATTTATACTTCATTTAAATGCTTTAATTGGTAGATTTCATGGTTATTTCCATTTCTTTATCATTTATTTGTTAATTTAATTGGTGTCTTGACCATTTTATTGATTTTGAAATATAAATAGGGCAAATTGTACCCCATTTAACCACAACTTCAAGGGAGGTACTTTCTTTTATTATTTCAAATCCTCTTATGTGTTATTATGTGTTTTTTATGTGTGTATTTGTATATTTTGAGTGCTTTTTCTTTTAATTACTCATTTTAAGTTTCATTTATTCTATTTAATTTTTGATGATTATTTGAGAGACATTTAAATGCCAATTTGTAATAGATAGATGCTCAAGACATGTATTTAGTTAGATTATATAATAGATAGGTTTTAGTTTTGCCAAAAATATAATTAGTTAGATAAATGTAATAGTTAGATTACTCTATTTTTTTACAATTTTCCCTTAGATTATAGTGAGGGCTCCGAATATAATAGGTAGGCTTTTATTTGCGTTTATTTGCTTTTGCTTTTGCTTGTGCTTGCATGCTTGTGTGCTTACGTGTTTATTCATTTTTACTAGGGTTTTGATTTAAAAATTATGCTTATGTGTTATGTACTCTATGTGCATTATGTGTTTACTTGCTTTAATTATGTCTTATATAATTTATTTAGTTATAATAAATGCATGACGTCACCTCATTAGTTCAATGCTAGTTGTGGCCTTCTCCTCGATTTCTCGCTAGTTCATTTTTAAGTGAAAACTTGTAGAAATGGGATAGTCTAATGCTAAATTCGTTAGGCCATTTCGCGCTACATTCACATTTTTTGCGCGACATTTATCTCAGTTGATACATGTTACTCATTTCTAGGATATTTTCTCATTTTATATGATGTTTCCTCTATATACTACCTCTCTTAACCCTATGTGCGCAAAACATAACATTTAAATTTGCATTTTATTTAGGAAATTAGAAGTAGGCTAATCCGTTCACTTGACTAAGTTAAAGAGTCACCCTTTAAATATGGAAAAAGAATGAGTATGGCTTCATTAGCCTTAGTACGCTCTCATCCCCTCTATAAAAAGAAAAATTAAGTCACGAATCTTAGTCCCCGTACCCGTTATGTTGCATGAATCTCATTTAAGTAATGTATATTTATATATTATAATTCTTCTTTTTTTCGAGTCTCATCTTTTGCATATTCGTGACCAATTCTAAGAATCATTTTGGACATCACAATTAATGTGATTTGCACCAATTAAACTTTAAAGATATATTGCGACTTTCTCGATATCCTTTAGATCTAGATTTGCATCTATGTAGAAATATTCAAATGTGATAAGTTTTATAGGTTAGATCAAGAAAATTTTTTACTAACTCTCACCTCTAGCCTTGGTTAGGTTGAAACGGTGCTTTAGATTTGATTCTATCAAATCTTTGCATTCCTTTTTTTCAACCATAACTCTTGAACTCTTTTCTCTTGTTTTCAAAAACTTGGAGTCATCTAAAAAGGATTTTATCTTTTTTTATCAAAAATACATTTTTAAGTGATTTAGTACACCTAAACTTGATATCAAGTGGCGATTCCTATTTTTTCTTAAAAATTCTTTTTAGACTATTATTTTAGGACCAAATCATCGCACTTTTTAAGTCTCATTTTAGGTTCTTTTTCTTTCTTTATTTTATGAAATAAAAAACTCATTGTTTCTATTTCTAAAATCAATAAATACATTTTTTAACACCATAATTCTATTTTTCAAAAATAAAAAATTAATCAAAATCCATTTTTTTTAACACATCAAATTTTATTTTAAAAAATGGGGCGTGACACGCACTATAATAATCTATATTTAATTGATACAATTGTTTCATTTAATGAATTTCTACATTTGAGTATTAGAGGAGTAAAGGAAAAAATTAATCAATGAGAATTCGACTGCATTATGGTACAAGAGATTGGGTTATATATCCAAATGGAGAATGAAAAGATTTGTGTGAAATGAAATTCTCGACCCCCTGAATTTTACAGATTTGGATGATTGTGCTAACTGTATAAAGGAGAAACAAACCAATAAAAGGATATTTGAAACCAATAGGTTATTGGACGTCTTAAAACTTATATATACAGATTTTTGTGGATCATTTTCTACATTTGTTTAGAATGATCAATAATATTTTATAACGTTCATAAACGATTCTTTAAGATATGACTATATATATCTCGTTGTTGAAAAATCGCAGTCGCTGGACGTTTTTAAAATTTTTAAATCTGAAGTTGAGAACCAACTTAACAAAAGAATCAAAAGTATCAGATCTGACCGTGGTGGTGAGTACTATGGCAGATATGACGATTCAGGTGAGCAATGTCCAGGGCCATTTGCTAAATATCTAGAGAAATACGATATCATCCTACAGTATACCATACTGGGTTCACCCACTATAAATTGTCCAGTTGAAAGACGAAATAGAACGCTTAGAAATAGACGAAATAGACAAAATTGTGCAGTTGTAACATGGTAAGGAGTATGATATGTCATTCTACCTTACCAGAATTATTCTGAGGAGAAGCATTTAAGACTGCAGCATATATTTTTAATAGACTTTCAACTAAAGCAACTAACAAAATTCTTTATGAATTTTGGACAGGAAAAAAGTTCAGTTTGAAACATTTACATATTTGCAAATGTCCACTTGAGATAAGACCTTATAGGCCAAATAAAAAGAAATTGGACTCAAGGACCATTAGTTATTATTTTATTAGATATTCTGAAAGATCCAGGGGTTACAAGTTTTATGATCCCACGATTAAATCAATTTTTGAAATAGAAAATGCTCAATTCTTTGAGAATATCGAGTTTGGGGGAGAAAATATAGTAAGGAATCTTGTCGTTGAAGAGGAATATGTCAACATTTTCACATGTGTCATTGATCTTGTTCAGGATCCCATTCTTGATCATGACATAATAAATCAAGATAATATCGAATAACAAACTATTATAGAAGAACAAATTTTTCCTCTTCAAGAACCAATGTCATTAAGAAAATTCACTAGAAAAAAAAAAGTGCAGTGCCAGATGATTACATTATTTTTTCCAAAAACGTGAGAATGATACTGGATTGATGAAAGATGATCCAATCAACTTCCGTCAAATCATAAAAAGTTCAAATTCTCAAAAATGGATCGATACCATGAGTGAAGAGATTAAATCCATGAAAAATAATGATATTTGGGATCTTGTCCCATTGCCAGAAGGAGCGAAATTCATTGGTTGTAAATGAATATTTAAAACTAAGAGAAATTCGAAAAGTAATGTGCAAAGATACAAAACTCGTCGTGTCGCTAAGAGTTTTACATAAAAGGAAGGTATCGACTATAAAGAAATCTTCTCTCCGATCTTTTCAAAGAACTCTTTTAGAATTATCATGGTATTAGTGACGTATTTTAATCTTGAGTTAGACCAGATAGATATAAAGACAGCGTTTCTCAATGGCAACATTGATGAGACGATCTACATAGTGCAATCAGAAAAATTTATATTGGAAGATCCAAAAAATATGATTTACAAATTTAAAAAATTTATCTATGGTTTCAAGCAAGCATCTCGACAATGGTTTTCAAATTCTCAAAAATGGATCGATACCATGAGTGAAGAGATTAAATCCATGAAAAATAATGATATTTGGGATCTTGTCCCATTGCCAGAAGGAGCGAAATTCATTGGTTGTAAATGAATATTTAAAACTAAGAGAAATTCGAAAAGTAATGTGCAAAAATACAAAACTCGTCATGTCGCTAAGAGTTTTACATAAAAGGAAGGTATCGACTATAAAGAAATCTTCTCTCCGATCTTTTCAAAGAACTCTTTTAGAATTATCATGGTATTAGTGACGTATTTTAATCTTGAGTTAGACTATATAGATATAAAGACAGCGTTTCTCAATGGCAACATTGATGAGACGATCTACATAGTGCAATCAGAAAAATTTATATTGGAAGATCCAAAAAATATGATTTACAAATTTAAAAAATTTATCTATGGTTTCAAGCAAGCATCTCGACAATGGTATTATAAATTTCATCAAGTGATCATCTTATTTGATTTTGAGACGAATTTAGTTGATGATTATATCTATCATAAATTCTATGGGAATAAGTATATTTTTTTAATATTGTATGTTGATAACATTTTACTTGCCAACAACGATATAGGATTATTGCATGAAATCGAGAGATTTTTAATTAAAAATGAAAGATTTTGGTAATACATTTTTTGTTTTAGACATACAGACACACCAGGATTGATTTCGGGGTCTTTTGAAACTATCACAAAAGGGTTAAATAAAAAATACTCTTAAAAAAATGACATATAAAGTTACAAATCATGTGACTGAAGGAGATGAGTTTAGTCTTGACCAATATCCTAAGAATGTTTTTAAAGAAAAGAAAATACAAAAGATTCCTTATGCATCAGCAGTAGGGAATCTAATGTGAGCTCAGATTTGGTCAGCACCTGGAGTGAACCTAAAATGTTGCTCAAATGCTTGTCATCGTGCCTCATTTCAATTTCCTTCGAACAATTTCGAGGCCTGGAAGTTGAAGTTGACATGATCAACTATTTGGAAAAAGATTATCAGTGTGGTTGGGTTTCATTTGGTTCAGTCCGAGATTGTATCTTTTATATTATTTGACGTACAATTATATTACATTATTGTATTTAGAGTAAAAATGATGTACATAAAATAAAATACTTGACATATATTTATACAACATTATAATATTTATACACCAAAAAATAACAATCGGACAGAACTGTACAAAACACAATCCCATCGAGCCTTGTACCAAGTATTTCTTGAAGAAATGACCAATCCCTGAAATCCGTGGACACATGTAAAGCGAGTGATCACTACATGGAAGCTTCTTAGAGCAAGACAATCGAACAAATATCCAACATTGCTAGAGCGTCTCGGGCATGTGAGATTTCATTTTCTTGAGACCTTGAGAACAATGGGGCTAAAGCTGCACAAATATGGATTTTTTTAGTAGAATTTTTATCAGGAACTACCTCTCAAGTCTAAGTTGATTCAGATTTGGATCTTGGTATGAGATTAATGAAGATATACTTCAATTCGTGAAATATTTATTCCTAACTTGATGGTCACAAAAGGGAAAAAAAATGTAAGCACATATATTTACGAAGTAAGAATGAAAACCAAGATGATCCATAATTGATTAAATTTTTTGGATACTCCCCCAAAGTTTTAAAATGTCACTAACCATCTCTGAAGTTCTGAAAATATTAATTACCTCCCATTGTCAGCATTTGGAACCCGTTGCATACATCGGCCGTGGCAAAATGACTATTCTAGCCTCACGCCTTAGGATTATTATGAAAGGGTTTTGACTAAAGCAGTTTAGGCCTTTAATAATAAAGTAACAATAATTTAACCTCTCAGTATAACTAAATTGCTTTTACGAAAAATGTGGAATAATGGCCCACAAGTGAAATATATTAGTTCGATGCCTGATAAATTGCAGAGTATGACAAAAGTTTGATCGTTGTTTTCTACCTTTTATCAATATCCAAATTTTTGTAGTTTGTACCAATACAACCCTAGTGTAAATCTAAAGGGGCAATTTTGGAATAAACAATCTTCTCATTCCTCAAAATAATTTTAATGTTGCTTTTCCTAACTTAATTTGAATTATTATAAAAAAAAAAACTAGAAATAAGAGAGATCGGTAATATTTTCAAATTTTCAAGGCAGGTCAGAGACCTCAGATTAAGCGAGGTTTTTAAAATTAATCCTTAAATTTTCTAATAAGTCAACTTAGTTGCATTGACAACGTAGCAAAACTTATTTTTGGTTTTGAAATTGGCTTTTTTTTTTGTGATCAAATGCCAATAGATGTGCAACTTCCAAGTCAATTAAGTGCTCAAATATTCGAAAGTTCACTGTTAAGGATATTCAACTCTTCCTCTTCTCTTAATTTATCACTCCTCTTCTCCAACTTTTCTCTGTTCCTTCTCCTTTTTTTCAAAGGTCTTCCCTTAGGTAGGGAGATCACACCATGGTTTCCCTCCCATGAATTTCGTTTGTTTTGTTTTTCTAATAGTCTCTCCAAATTTTTATTAACGAGAGTTTTCTATTTCTCCTATGATTCCTAGTGAGTATTTTCTATTCTTTTAGTGATTCTTATGGAGTTTTATTCTTTTTTCTTATTTTATTGTTAGATCAAAATTTATTTCAAATCTGGTTCTTAGATCTGAATATTTTTTTGGATCTTGAGTCTATTATTTTGACAGATCTCATCATTATTATTAGGGTTTAAAACCATTGATTAACACATCTGCCGATTGCAACATATACAGAAGGTAACTACAGTGATTTATCTATTAGAAGACAATTGTGAAATTTCTTGTATTTTTCAAATCTGTTGATAATTTTTTAGATTTATTGTATCTGTAAAATTGCATATCTGTAATTTTTAGAGTATGTTTAAATCGTGTTGGATGATTTTTAGCAATCTATCAATGAAATTTGCTTTTATCAAAAAAAAAAACTTATTGCATATATTATTCATAAGGGTGAAATCTCCAAAATTTCGACCAAGAACTCTAATATGATTGCCCTCATAGACAATATGTGAGCACTAGACAAGTGAGACAAGTGAGTGGGTATCTAATTTGGGTTCTTTCTTTTTTTCTATTTTGATTCAAAATTCTTTTTCTCTATTTATAATTTTTAAGGAACAAGTCTTTCATCGCCCACTGGAATTAGGCTGTTGAACTTGAGCATTATGCATCTTCAAGTAAACCTCGAAATTGGGATTTTTGGGGAAAATGAGTTTTTGAAACTAACAAGTTTTAGGAATTTGAAATGAGGAAAATAGGTGAATTAGAATGAGCCACTGACATTAGAACTCCATATTTAGCTTCAGACACTCCATTATTATTCTTATTTTATGAATCCAAATGGCTAGTGATTTAATAATTTCTTCTGAAAATCATTGCCTTTAAGCCACCTTATAATACATTCTAAGATTATGAATTTATAACAATGAAGCCCCTATAATCACTAATTGGTTAATGCACATTGCTGCTTATTAAAGTGCACAATTCCATTCAATAAAGTACGCATTACCATTCAGTTTTAAGATAAACATTTGATAGACATACTTCAAAACAGTGACAAAAAGTACCATTACATGTAAGAAAAAAGACTTGGAAATGTATAAAAACAGGACACAATAAATGCATATCACAGCCATACCAAAGAACATTGATTTATCTGTCCTTTACTCTAGAAGAGATGGATGCTAATTAACCTGTCCTTTACTGCTTTTATCTTGGTAATACTTCTTTAATCTCCTGGAAATGAGAAGGCCAGTACATGTAGAATTCTGTCAATGACTTAATCCTTGCTTAGCAAATCATAGAAAATTTCTGGCCTTCTGTAATCTGATATGCATGGTGCCTGAAAACCAATAAAAGTCTCACATGATTACAAAGAGCATAACTTCCAGTAAATGAACATTCAAGGGGCAGTAAACCATTCATTGTCTGTTATTAAACAAGAAAATTACGAATAGAATTTAAAACGTCAAATAGAGAGCGGCGATTTGCACAAGTAACTTAGCTCAAAATGTTTATCAACATTATGCTAGACCAAAATAAGAATGAAATCTTACTTGCATTGCGAAGGCTACATGGATTAACAGAGATTCGGACCATGGCTTCCCGATGAATTGAAGACCAATTGGCAATCCTGATTTATCATATCCAACCTATACAAAGATACTCTGTTGAAATGCCTACAAAGAAGAATTGACGAATTTGGAATGATAGCACGAAAAAACATTTCAATACATACTGGAACAGTCACTGCCGGCAATCCCAAAAAGTTCCCTGCTATCTGATATCGAACTAGTGCAGCTGAAATGATAAAAGTCCAAGATAAGATTTCTGCCCCCTTTTCTTTTTTGGATAGAAAATTAGCCAATTCATGCCTATTACAGTAGTAAGAATGCAAAATGGATGATCAAATAAAGAAACATAACAAAGAAATTGGATTCAAGTGCAAGTCAGTCACTTCAAACCTCCATTTATGTAATCCAACTCTCCAGTCTTCAAAGCATCATCCTTTATTGGATATGCTGTTACACTGCCAGATGAATGGACATGTACATAGATTATATGGAAGTCATAAGAATTTTAGCATAAAAACTTCTTGTTTTATATCTGCATTATTAGCTGCTCAGAAACAAAAAAGAGCATAGCTTCTTTTCAAATGAAAAATGTACCCAGTTGTCGGGGTAACTATGACATCTGCCTTGGCAAATATTTTCATGTAAAACTGCAGCTGCCGGTTCCTGTAGATAGTGAAAGACAATTCAGTACAAATACTTTAAATAGTCACCCGCAAGTATCCATTATCATGGGCTACCGCTTTTTTCCCATGGGAGCCTGAGCAAAAATTTTACCTAAATGTTACAAACATAGATCTCTTGCTACATGGTGAAAGGCAGATGAATTATTCTGAAACTCCAGCAAACAAGAAGGAATAGGTCCTAAGAACTAGACGAATCCTATTGGGGAGAAAATTAAAGTACAGTAAAGGGACTTACATTTTAGTTGAATTCAAGGTTCACCTAAAATTAAAGCTTTATAAGGTGAATAAATATGTCAATTAGAGGTTTGACTCTACATTTCCTGATCTGTCTAACAAAGCATTATCCAGTGACAAGCTTGTTTATGTACCACAAGAAACACTAGTCCAGGAAGGAACAAGGTAAGCTCCTTGACAGGAGTGGATACCTCTAGGTTATGAAAGAGCACGGGCAAGAGCAAATAGCCTAAAAGAGACTAGTTTTAAGAACAAGACTGAATTGGGAAGTGGGAACAAACTGAAATCCTCAAGAAGAAGTCCTTAAAAGGATTTCATAGGTTCAACCAAGAATAATGTAGTGGAAAGCGTAGTTTACACCTAAAAGAACAAAAGGTCAAAATCTGTGTCAACATGTTGAGGATTTGTCAGAGTCCATGATTTTTCCAAGTACACTTCAATTTACTGCGTTAATCTTATGTGTCCATTTTCCTCCTTTCCAGTGTGATTTATAGGGTAAGCATGTTTCAATAAAGGGAAAAAAATATACATCCGACATTTTCCAAAGATTGTGGGCAATAGTTTCACTGCACCATGTTATCTGCAACAAATAGAGCCTATTGTCTGATATCTTGTAGGTCAAATATTGTGAAATGCCTACCTAGCAACGGGATCCAAATGGTGTAACTCTGCCGCCAATTTCATTTGTCAAGTAAATTTTGAAAGATGGCAGAAGTTTCCAGACTGTTAAATCATTAGTCTGGTAGTCTAATGTGTTTGGGCTTCTCTGAAGACAATCTCTAATACGGCACAACGACAGATGGAAGCAGGTAAGTACCACAGAGTTATCCAGGAGCACATGGTTCGCAAGAAACTGAAAAGGTTTAGTCTAGATAGAAAAATGGGATTTTATCTTGAGGATAGATGGCATGTGAAAGAAGAAGAGGGATCAAATACACTCAATGAACAGGCAAAGGTATTTATGATTTTTTACTGCACAAGCTGCTGAACAAGATCACAGTATAAATTCATGGCAAGCCTTCAAATCTACATTCAGCAAGGCTAGTTATCACATTTACTGTACGCCACTTTACAACCACATGATTAGAGCACTTAAGAAATCATGTTCCTTATCTTGAGGAAGACGACATCAATGATATTTCATCACTCTAGAATTGATTTTGTGAAAAAATAAAAATAAAACTACATGCAGTTGATCTGAACTGTACTTCGAACAGAGAACTACTGCGTTGACATTATTTCATTTGTTTTTCAGGCAACGAGTTGTGATCAAGTTGAGCTAGATGAGGTATACAATGCTTTCATAGAATGAACATAAATAACTTGTGTGGGCATAACCATAGCATTTCCAGTGCATGGTTCAATGCTTTCCACTGTATTGGACAAGAATAAATACACTCTTTCCCTGAGAAACTTAAATGGCACTCCTGGGAAGCATATTCACTTAGCTGATTCAAGATGCACTGCAATGTATAATGTATATATAGTTCCTCTTAGCTGCCAACTGACATTTAATCCACAGACATCTTTGTATTTAACATTTTTTTAGGTCAGAGTAGTTCTTCATACTTACAATATAAACCCTGTATAGAGTAGTTCTATAAATTTATATCTCTTGGCTTTAGTTATGAAATCTATAGTAATGGAGTGATTTGCTTTAACATAAAGTGCAGAGTGTGTTCCAATTGTTTTCCTGATTGAATCTGTCTGGAAAAGCAATATTGTTTGAAATCCACAGTTCAAATTATTCCAAAAAAGCTAAAACAATATGAACTGTTTCATGCTCCATATGATATGCTATTCAAGTATCAGTCAGTCACACCCCAAGAGAATGATTGATTTGGATTTTATAACTAGTCTTCCTTCCATTTAGTTACCTTTGTATAATCTGACTACTAGGATCTATTTGATGTTAACCAAATTTGCTTTCTATAATTCAAAAAATTTAACCTTGTTTATTTGATCAACTAAACAATCACTAGAACATAGTCTTGCTATAAGTTACACAATGCTTCAAATTGCTTTATCAACCATCACGGGACCAACACCACCAACAAAACAAGAAGAGCTAGCAACAGGGGATTGCTTAAGTTAGTTCAACTGCTTATCCTCAATATCTGAGTCTACTGCAGATACATTTTTGCACCCACTAAAGACCTTGATACCGTAGGAAGGAAGCTGACACAAAACATGCCTATTAGCTTTTCAGGATTTTGATAGATTAAGAAGCATAAATCTTCACAATGAGTCTAAAAAATTTTGGTATTATGCTCATCTATTATTAAACAATTTTGATGATATGAATAACAGTTATCATCCAATTTAGATTTAAACAGTAAAGTTGGATTACCTAATCATCTGGGCGTTCAAGTACTCCCTGCTGTTGAAGGCACCATAGACGGAAAGTGCTACCCTAGCATCCCATCCCAATTCTGCCATATCCCTGATAGGATTGATCCCAAAAGTCAGCCTTGCATATTTAGCATTATATCAAATGGGTAGTGATACAAATGGCATATTAATAATTGAAAATACGTACAACTTTTCCAGATGACAAGCAATTGAAGTACTACATTCAGAGCCAATGGTCAAGTAATGTGCTAGACGCATCACCTCTATCTCTGGCATGGTAACCTCTATCGTCTGGCAGAGAAGAAAGCTTGAATATGTCAGGAAGCTAGCATTTAAACTCTGAAATTAATATGATCAAATATAAAGAAAACAGTAGTGGCTTTATGATATATCAACTCTTCATCTATGATTTCATTTGGGATACATTGGAATCATTTGTAGAAGTCTTTGGAAGAAAGATAATGTAGAGTATGAAAGATTGAGCGCCTTTACATGCAAGCATAATAAACACACACACTTATTCATGTAAAGAGCAGTGCTTTATCAATACCTTCCAACCATAGAGATCAAATAATTTGTCCAAAGCTTTTGAACAGCAGACTCTTATGTCATCAGTGCAGTCATTGAACCACTAAATCAAGAAACCATGAGTAATAACATAAGCAATTAATCATGACTTCTGGATGTGGAAGATAATTTATAAAAGTAACATCCACCTTAAGACAGAAAAAAAAATGATCTACTGTTAATAAAATTTGTGGAAAACAAACCTCTCCATATTTTGCCAGTTTGATGTCAGATCTGCTCTCTGGTGCCTTAAGTAATGGAAAGTATACTTTAGGCTGGTACATTCTCCAAAAGAAAGAAGAACCAAAAAGGTCAAAATTCAGTTGATCTGACTAAATTGTCCATCAAATGGTCACTTGTTTTGCTGAATTAACAAACTTGTTGCGAATCAGAAAACAATGCAGAGCTTAACCTCCGCATCTGAATGTGAAGTAATATCTCCACATACCATTACTTGAGCAGATTGATCTGATGATATTGGGCCACTGATAGCTCCATACCTGGAAATTGTAAATTGGCATTCAAAGTCATTTAAAAAAAAAAGAAAGTGTTCATGGGAGTGAATGTAATCTGACTTGGAAAGAGGAGATTAAGATTACTAACACTATAAGTGCATCTTCAATTGTACCAGTTAGTATCCCAACCATCCCAACTGTCCAGTTCAGAGGGAGAACACTGAAATCACATTTTGGATCAACTATCATGAAACCAAATTTTCTGAGAAATTGATGAGGTCAACAGATATGATAAATAGAAAATACCCCGAGTGTGGTATACGTCCAAATGTTGGCTTGAGACCAACAACACCGCAGAGAGCAGCCGGCATTCGTACGGATCCTAATCAAGCAGAGAAAGTGGCACAAAAACTTACATTAATTTCAAAAAGAAGAAGAACATTCTGAGACAGATGACAAACAAACAGACTGATGTAATAATAAACTGTATACAATTGGAATGAAAAACATAAAATTTCAGTTCCCACAAAAACTGGAACAAAAGAAGAAATGATTAATCTCCATACCAGTAACATTTTCTACAATGATGTGAAAGTTGAATCACTACAAGATGTGGCTAAAGCAAGGTAGAACATAAGATGAAATTCATTGAATTTTGATGTCTTCCCTTCTTAGCAACTCATTTGACACAGATAGAGAATATCTATGGTGTGAAACACATATATATACTGGTTCTTTTTCATACAGCAAAGAAAATGATCTATTCAAACAAAAGAGCATGACGTTTGCTGGTTCACGAGACTGTAAAATAATATCTAGTGTTCAAAGTAGAGGATAAGAACATCAAAAGCAGAATGCAATGGAGCAATCTGGACTGCTAAGGGTGACATCAGAGAGAATCTAATTGAGGAAAGGATTCAACAAATCAACTCTAAAAGTGTTGATACAGCTTAAATAAGCGAGTTAAGATTTGCACCATGGGCATCTGAATAAATATTGGCAGAAACACAAGGCTATAGACTTGATACTGGTAAAGTCTCTATTGATATTACAATGTCATGGGAATAATGAAATAGTTGATGGTTTTAATTATTTCAAACATTTTTTCTATCCTGATCATATTGCTAGGATATTTGGTTCTTAAGAGTTAATACTTTAGAGCCACTTAGCACCATTTTTGAATATTCAAGATGGTTCACATTTTGAGGGCCATAATCAACTGCATTTTCTTGATATCAATAGTCTACTGTTCCCAGGAAACCTTTACTTGGTTTTTTAGCTTTTCTTTGCGCTTACACATAAGTCTAGTGTGGAACAGGTAGTATTAGCTGAAGCAGGCTCTAGAACCAATAGGTATTTTTGATTTCCCCTTTTCAACGTTTTAAGTTGACCATGCCTTTGTTGGGATCTTTCATTTTTACAAAATTTTCTATCTTAAGAAGTGCGCCAAGCTACAAGTAGGACAACTTAGCATCGTAAAAACTAGTAAGAGCCGAATAGATAATTGCTGCTTAAATTTGATTAGATATGGCTAGTATCTAATGGCGTCTTATTTCAAATCTTCAGGCAGTTGGATTGTTAAAATTGTGGATACCTATAGTAATTTTTAGTAAGAAAAAAGAGAAGTAGAACATGATCAAGTTTTACCTCCTCCATCAACACCAAGAGCAACAGGGCATAGTCCTGCACATACCACAGCAGCAGATCCACTAGAAGAACCACCAGCAATTCTGCTGCTGTCATATGGATTTCGTGTTGTCCTATATCAATCATACAAAATCAGCAAATTTCCTAATTTCAAAAAGGAAAAAAGGAAGACTATTTTTATCAATCAAGAAAATCAATATTGATTCAAGGTAACAACTAAAACAAGTAAAGCCAGATTTCTATAATGAGTGAAATATGGGATTTTGTACTTACCCATAATGAGGATTTATCCCACTGGTTCCAGCTCCAAGCTCATGCATGTTTGTTTTCCCGACCAGAATGGCACCACATGACCTTAGGCGTTTAACACAGCAGGCATCTTCAATGCACGGTCTTACTTTGTGCAGCCACTTTGTACCTCCTATAAGGGCCATTTTGTCAATGAAATGAAAGCTTAAGTAATGCTCATTCAATCATAATTTTCAGGAATAAAGTTTATAACATTTCTCTAATGGTTAAAAGTCAGATGCGGAGACAAGACAAACCTGTGGTTGGATATGGTAGACAATCTATTTCATCTTTAATGGCAATCAGAACTCCATCTAGAACAGATATTGGCTCACCTGAAACAGAAGTTACTCGCAATAAAAAGGTAAAATTTACCAAAAATTCAAAGACAGGACTTTGTTTCAGTACTCATACATTCAAATCAATGAACCAGTTTTACAAATCATGAACAGTAAGAGTATGTAACAAAGCTTCTTATGCTCAATTTTTCTGCAGAAATGAAGGATCCGATAACCTGTATAATCACCAAATGATATTGTAGTTTGAAATTAGTATCATAAGGAAATTTGCCTGACAATTCTAACCAGTTATACCAGATTTCATTAGTGAAAGACTCAATCAGAATATATATTTAGCTGCTCATCCAAAGGGGCTTCTGCTATGATGAAAATTATTGCCAAAACAAAAATGCAGTGAAAGCATAAGGTGTTGAAACAGAAAAAGTTTGATTAGAACAAAATTGTTAATTTTTAAACTTCGGGGCATAAGTCTGTGGCAGTGCTTACTTGTATAACTGAAATTTCTGTAAAGGCGAACAATTTTGTCAAGAAAATAAAAATTGAACTACACGGTTACAGTACAAGAACTTTGATATAATCCTGATATTAATTAACAATGGACAGAAACATCTTTTCTGGATTCCAGCCAGTCAATTTTCCTACTGCATAAAAATCTGCAATCCTTGAAACTCTGAAGACATCAAGACATTGCAATATGTGGCAATAAACCATGTTCACCTTTCGAATACAGACAAGAATGCATACCTCGTTCATACCGATGAGTTGATTCGGTAGCTTGTTGTAATATATCTTCAGGATTGAAATCAATAAAGAATGACATAGGTCGTAAAGGCTTGGATGATTCAATCACAGCTGCTATAAACTTCTTTGCTACCTGAAAGAAAGAAACAATGAATTACCTAGAATTGAACGGATGAGTATTATATACATGATGACAATTAAGAAGAATGCTGGAGTAAAATTAGAGACAGAGAAAATGGACTTGAGATTTGTTTTTCTGACTGACTATACAAGAAATTCATATTGACAGTTGTGAAAAGGATGATCCAATAATACCATGACAGGAGTTACTTCTTGAGACATATATCTTCTTGAATAATCCAGTATTGTCCAGCGTTGAAAACTAAGTTTTGGATTAATTTTATTCATTTCCTCTGAAGTTTGAAGACAATCAGTAGCCAATTGAACTTGTTCCACAGGAGAAAGATGATCAGGCTTGGTGCATTTTTCTTCTTCACCATGCCCTGCCAGAAAAGTTTGCATTCAGAGTCAAGCATACAGCTTCTTTCAGTTTAATGTGAAAAGTACACATCCTTTCAAACAAATAACTGTGACCACGAAAATTGGAATGATTAGAGGATACAAAAAAGAGCTTTTCAGGGTTTCTATGTGTACAGGTATACATACTCCTTATTCCCCCTAATTTTGTCACTTGTGATAGACACGAAAGTAACAAAACCAGACTAAATACTAACGGGCAATGGAACCATTGCATATCACTTTCAGTATTTCTTGACATATACATTTCTTCTATCTTAAAGGACTAATTCCAATGCAAAGTAAAATGCATGTAAGTACCAACCTTCATGAGGGTGCAATGGCACAAAAAGAGGTGATTCTTGCAACTCCGCAAATGAAACTAGCTGCAAAATACTGGCCTGTGTTAGCTAACTAAAAGGACCACTATGCAACAAGAAGTCTTTTAGTATAAGGCTATATTTACTGATGCTTCTACTCAAAAGTTTAAAGTGATGCAAGATATTTTGACAAACTTACAAAAGAAAAGAAAGGGGTGTGAGATCTCCAACAATGAGAAAAGAATACGAAATGATTCAATTTTTGTTTGGATCCAATATTCTCAGGAAAAATATTTTAAACTAATTGTGTAGCATTGTTGTGAGATGAACTATGATGTATGTGAAATAAATTGAACTTAAAATAGTAACTGATGATTGGAATGTATTTAAGGTAAAATCAAATATATTCGAAATAATGGGGTATTCAAAAGAAGACAAGAAAACCAAGAATTTTCACTGTGCCTTAAACAAATAAGACAGCTTGTGTGTAGTTAGTATTTCCACTTTTCAGTGTATAATCCATACATATCAAGAGTTTTGGTTTTACAATGCCCAAATAATTATTCACTTTCTTGACATATCCTTCACAAATAAAAGTTTCCAGTGCAATGACAATTACCTTACTTTCTTAAGCTAATAGATTGGTTCCAAATAATAATAAAAAAAAAAAGTTGGCCAAATTAAAGAGAATTTTGCAATGCATCTATCAGTATTGATTTTGCAGAGAAAACATTCAGAATATGCTTAATTACATATTACATATTATCCATGATGACCAACAAATAAAAATGTAACTTTATTTTCATTGTATGGGGATTGCGAAAAGATAATCATACCCTATGATACTTAATTCTTAACCAAGTTTACCCAGTGGCACCAAATACTTTCATTTTTCTTCTTCCATTCTTCTTTATCCCTATAAAGATTTTCTTTTCAAACTTAATTAAATGCTCTTATTTTCATCTGAAAAATAGTTAATCATGATAACTCATCATGAGAAATGAAAGAGTAACGCCCATTTATAGAAGTAATTCCTATTATGGGTTAATTGTTAAAACAAATAGAAATTAAATATTCAGTAGTATATTTCACTTGAAAGTTTTCCTTATTTTTCCTTCTTTCTTTCTTCTTTTTCATGATTTATGTATATTTTTATTTTTCTTGTTACAATATTTAATTATCACAAGTAGAAGAAATTAAATATACGTATGAAGTAAAAATATTTTAGGATTAATTATAAAAACTCCCCCTTAAGGTATAACCAGTTTTGCACCTTATCCCCTAACGTTATATTTTTTTCACTTTATCTACTAAACCGTTCGTCAACTCTAACATTGCATATCAGAAATGTCAAAAAGATGTTGATACCCCTAAGGGTTAATTATAGTAAATCCCCTTTAAAGTATAGCTATTTTATATTTTCTTCGCTAATATCATTTTTCTTTTAATTTGTCTATTCATCTCTAAAACCATTAGTTAACTCTAATATTTTGAGCCACTCAACATACATGTGATAAAAAAGTTTTTTAGAAAAATTTAGCAATTCAAATAAATTTTAATAGCATCTAAGCATGGTATATTACTGGAAAAACTCTGAAAATTTTGAACTCCAAATCAACCATGTTTCTCTTTTTTAGTATTATCAGTAAAAAAAATGTATACTTTTATATAAAAAAAATATATAGCTATTAAAAGAAAATTTTAGTTATATACACATTTCTAAAGAGAAACTGACAATATTCCAATCATTTTTAGATTTTTAAAAATATTTTTCAAATATTAATTTTTTTAATAATATTTTTTGTTTGCTTTTTCCCACTATTGAATCAAATTAGCAAGATATTCTCCTCAATCTAAAAAAAAAGGTGTAATTACGAAATGAAATTTAACTAGAACCATATATATAAAAATTATTTTTTATTATTATGTTAGGAATATTGATTTTTTTAGATATTAATTGTTTTGAGTGTTATCCAATATTGGAGTTTATAATAAATAAACAAATTGATAAAAAAAAATGATGTTAGGGGATAAAGCACAAAACAAACTATACTTTAAGGGAATTTACTATAGTTAGTTCTTAGGGGTATAAATGTCTTTTTGACATCACCATCACACAATGTTAGAATTGACTAACAGTTTAGGGGATAAAATGAGAAAAAATAATGTTAGGGGCTAAAGTGCAAAAGTGGTATACCTTAGGGGGAGTTTTTGTGGTTAACCCTATATTTTATCAAATGTCTATGTTATGAACAATCAATTATTATTTTTATTATAAATTAGTAAATTACTTTATGCAATTTGTATATTTTATTAACAATTAATGCATCATATGTTTTCAACAAGAAAAATAGCTGGTGATGTATACAGAATAGATATGACACAAGCGAGAGTAAGGATGAGAGGATAAGCGACAGCAAGTCAAAATTTTATAAACATATTAGGACAAAATAAAAGGCATTAGTGGCATTGAAAAATGAAAAGGAAAAAGGTTAAAAAAAAAGGAAAGAAAGAAGAAAAGGAAAACGATAGTGAGACTAAATGGAAAAACATACAAGGCAGACACATTTGTCCAACACATTAATGAAGCATTTGGACAGTTAAATGTCTAAAACTATGTTTTATGACTTGGACCGGGCATCGACTCGGTTGAACTCAGGGATCAGGGGTCAATGGGTTCGATCGAGTTCAATTGGAGTTGAATCGGATGACGTCATAAATAAAAATTATTTAAAAATTAAAATATTATATATAAAATACCTAAGAGTATGTTAATATTAATAAAGGTATATTCATATATATTTGATGTTTCAAATATATTTAACAAGAAAATACAAAGAAATTAAAACTATCAAGTAGCAATTTATATTATTCAATAAACATTAACAAGTTTATAATTAAAATTATGGACTTGATTGAAAAATAACACCAAACTTTAGGGCAACATTTATAAAATATGAAATATTTGAGGTATATTAATAATTTTTAACAACTTAGGGATCAAAACATAATATTAAAAATGCTTTGACCTTAAAAAATGTTTTGACACCAAACTGGTTCTTACGATTTTTCGGTTTTTGACCTAATTTGACTGAGTTTCTATCTATCCGGTTTTGTAGGATAACTCGCACCGGATATTTGGCATGTTCCCTATCGGACTGGTCGATCCGGTCTGAGTTTAAAAACATATGTCTAAAAGCGCTTAGTCATCGGGGGTAGTTTTTATATTTCATGGACACAAACGGGGTAAATTGCTACTCACCCATAATTATATGGCGGAAGGTGCAATAAAGCCTTCAAACTAATTAACTATAATGAAAAAAAGAATATTGAGTATCTGGATATGCTTTTCTTTAAATTAAAGTTTCTCACTTCAGGTTTTGTCCACTTTAATGGACCAAAATGATATTCTGTTCACTGTAAATTGGCCGACTTCTAAAGTTAAGAATTAATGAGTTAGGATGTGCTTTAAAATTTTAAGGACCGGCATAATTTATTGTAAAATACAATAATAATCAATGTTTTTGATAAAAAAAAAAGGAAATTTATTAATGAGATTACTGGAAATCGTCCACTATAATTTGCTTGACAAAATTTGCGGGAGAATTTCATAGAGATTCAAAAAAGTTAGCCATTCAGTCAACTTAATTACTATTTTGTCGGTCAACAAAATATTTTTTGTCAGTAAATTAACACTTTTATATACTTGAGCTACTAAAACCAATCAAGAAAAGAAATGATACCTTATGAATCAGATTGTTTCTCTTGAGGATGTATAACATAAGAGCTCCAAAAATTCTCGACTCCAAGAGCCAAGCAAAAACTTTAACTAGAAAGCCAGCCATTCGAGGTGCTACACAATGATATAAAGTCAATCAGAAGAATAAAGGTATAAGGCCTTTTTCCAAAATGACTTGACTCAATTCAACTCTATTAGAGTAGGCGTAAGGTACACAAGTGACAATTAATTAAAAAAAAAAAAAGAGGTTTGAACTCTGTTACATTGCAGATGAATAATTGAGAACTTATTTCCCCAAAAAAAAAAACAGAAAAAAAAATTAAGGGTTTTCTCTTTTTTCTTTTCCTAGAAAAAAAAACCAGCAAATTTTCGACAAAAAATAAAATGGTAAACTAATTCCTTTCCAGTTGTAACTTGGTCATGAGGCTCCATCATTCTCTGGAAAAAGGGACCACCCAACATTGTACTTGCTTCTAGCACTTGATTAGCTTGAGAGATTACCATATATATCAGCAATATAATTATATAAATAGAACTGACTTTTTTCAAAAAAATAAAAATAAAAATAAAAAGAATAGAACAGATTTCAACGTAAGGTGGAAATTTTGATAATTAATCCCATTATCAGCCAAAAACCACGGAAAAAGTTAGGGAGGGAGGACAGGAAGAGGAAAATTCTATTTTGTCCCTTATAAACTTGAAAATTTTCAAAGAGATACTTTTACAAATAAAAATTTGCCCCTAACATTTATAGGATTTTTCACATTGGACCACACAGTTCATAATTTCATATTATATTAAAGGAAAGAAAATGCAATCCTTTGCAATGCACGTGCATGCATACTAGTCAATTCCATCTATCTTGATCAATCTTTATCATCAATCAAGAGCAATCAGATACCAAATCCTTCATCAGTTCTTTAATTTGTCATAATTACATCCCAAAAGCATTATAAATACAGAGTTTTTTTATTAAAAAAAAAACACAGCACAACACACTCACGGGCACACACACAAACACACACAGTTTATGGAGTGTAAGTGGTTTCAATGTTTCATGCATACCTTTAACATTGGCTCGGAGATAAACTTCCTTGCTGTCAGGGCCAAGATCAACACTGTCAACGGGCTTGTAAACCACGCCTTCATCTTTCAGAAATCCCATTATTCCAATATAATTGGAACGTTTTTCTGCTATATATGCATATATATGCCTGTCTAATCACACATAATGTTCAGTGTGTGTGCGTGTGTGTGTGATGTGTGAGCAGTACTGTTGAGGGATAAATGCAGAAAAAAGAGTTGATGAAGAAGAAGACTTTCCAAGAAAAAGACACCTTCTTATTTACCCAAGGCCACACTTATATACAGGTAACTATATATACAAGTTTGAGTGGGGGAAAAGAGGGGGGGTGGGGAGGTGTTGGGAGGCTTTAAGGGGTAGACTACAGAAGAGTTGGTGTGGCGGAGATGGCGAGATATTAATTAACGAAGACAAAAAAAAAAAAAAAAAAAGTAATCATCTTGCTAGCTTTCTTGCTTGCATCAACATCTACCGTTTCTTATAAATGAGGCTGTTGGGAAAAAAACAGAAATGTGAAAGAGATTCTTTGCTTCTTAGGAAGAAAGTCATGTTCAAAAGGAAGAATTGTAAATTTGGTCCCTTGTAGTTTTTGTTATTTACGATTTAGTTCATTACTTTGTTTTGTTTCACTTAATATCTTTAAAGTAATTATACATATCATCTCTAACGAAAAAGTCCTTAAGAAATTCAATCTGGTAACTAAAGCATAAAGTTCCTAAATGAAAAGTTACAGAATTACCATGCAATAAATGAGGAGAAAGAATTAGGTGTGATTGTTGTGTGTGTAAGTATGTATAATTGTTATTTTACTTGCATTACCTTCTCATGTAAAATATACATTGTATTACCTTGTTGCAAGGATAGCTTTGTTTGTCTGCATAATATATCGTAAGAAGTATAATCTTTAATGTATTTGTCCATCAAATCTTTATAAAATACAACTATAGGACATATTTGTATCTTCCACAAATGCATGTGCATCATAACATACAATTAATTGGTAGTTTCTCATCTTTAATTTCAATGAATTAGTAACTTATGCTAATGGAATTCATGCTTTCATCCTTAAAGCATTTGAGCATACAAATGTATATGAATTAATCTTTTTTACATGACAATGTATACACTGTCAATTTTGGATAAATGACAACTATATAAAATTTGAATTTGAATTTCAACTTTTACACGTGTATCATGGATTTAACAGTGATAGTGTATATAATGTCAATATATGTATATAAGATTTTCTTGATATATATAGTAGGTACAATTTGTCAAAGTTCAATGTATTGGATTGGATTAAGAAACAGTCGAAACATAAAGGACCATAGGTGTTAAAAGTAACATATAAGTAAGGTACGAGACTGAGTCTAAACCAAACAAACAAGGGACTATAATTACAATTTGTTGAAACTTGTCCATTTCAACAAATCTATTGACAAATGACAAACAAACGAAGTGATTGACGTAGGTCTTCGGCTTTCTTGAGAAGTGAAAACTCTACGGTTGTTTATCCTTTATACCTTGTTGTGTGTGAGGGGGTAAGCACTGGTCAATGCACTGGAGGGACTTAATTAGCTTGGGGAACCTAGCAAGTAATCAAAGCTTATTATGTGCTTGTTGCAGGAGTAAGAGCCCCAGGACCTTTTGTTATATATATCCAGCACCTAATGATTTTCTCCAGCTGATGGCTTGGGTAGAAGAATCTCTTTATTAGGAGGTGGATATATATGGTTATCATCTCTAATTCTTGCTAGAGATAATCTAGAAGAACTTTGAAATTCAAACCTAATTCATTTGTGCCTATAAAACTGTATAGTTGCCTATTTTTAGATCATAGACACAATTAAAGCATCTTCTCTGACCAAAAGAAAGAGATTGAAATTTCTCCCAGTTTTACTTTCTTGACCAAGATATACATCATCAATTTTTTTAATTAGATTTGTGAGAATAGTTAACTTATAATTACTTAATTTGCCACCTGATATGGGTGGTGTGGCATCAAAAAGATGAAATAAAGAAAACTTATAATTGCTTCTGTCACGCCCTCTATTCTAGAGTAGAATTTTTTTTTTTCGAAACGGTAGAATCATTTCATTCTAGAGTAGAATTTTTTTTTTTTCGAAACGGTAGAATCATTTCATTCATTGTAACGAGGAAATTACAAATGCGAGCAAAGGCTCAAAAAGACTGTGCATCTAGTGCTCAGTTGCACTGAGGAAATTCCATTCCTCATCCACAAGGATGCCTAAGGCTTGGGAACTGAATTTTTTACTTCTTTCTGTACTTTCTTCCTTAACCAAAATATAAGTTCTTTGTATACTTCTTTATTTCCAACTTACAGCTGTTGGTAAAATATGGGACGGGTACGATACGAGATATTACACGTATGTATATTATACTATTTTTTCCAATAATAGATTTAATAATTTAGCATAAAAATACGAGTTTGACAAAATTATGCAATTAATTAAACTTATATATGAATAATACTAATATACACGAATATAAATAAAAATTATGAAACTGAAAAGATGGATAAAATTATTATACTTTTCAAAGATTGTAATATATTCTAACCAATTTTAACTTTTACACCAAGCCCCGTTCCTCAATCAAAACCCGAATCACCAAGCAAAAAGGAAGGATTTAGGAGCCAGAGATGTTATATTTATCACAATTTCATCACTTTATTACTTTCAGATGCATAAATCTCTGACAATCATGATATATATCGTTGCTATATTGTATATAATTTGGAAGGTATGCCGTGATCCTTACTCAAATATTAAATTTTTTTCAAAAATTGAAGTATGATTCGTGAAGTATAGTACATCAAAATTTTATTACGTGTTTTATAAAATTAGTTAAAAATTATGAGAATTTTTCAAATATTTTTGAAATGCACAAAATATGAAAGTATTCTTCAATCACGTGTACAAGCATGAAACATAAGAGTAATACGAATATTTATAGAGTAAATCTTATATACACTAACAATGTATACGCTATCACCGTTGAATTCCTGATATACGTGTAAAAGTTAAATTTTAAATTCAAATTTTACATATATAGTTGTCACCCATCTAATGCTAGCAGTGTATACATTATCAGTATAGCAAAGATTAATCCATATTTATATACTAGCTAGGCTCAAACACTATAGTTGAAAATAACTATTAATTGTGGTAAAAGGCTCAGCTTGCCTTTTCCTTTATCTTTTTTGTGATATTCCCATTGCAATTCTGTTATTTGTGTTTAAGGGTGAAATCTATCGGCTAATCCATTATATACAATCAATCAGAATCGATTTACAAAGATCGAATTTAAATTTGAATTCCCTAAATTGAAATCGAATTGAATTAAGATCAATTTAGATTATTGATAAATTTTTTCAATTTTCAAATTTGGCATAAATACACCAAATTCTATCACTGCAAGCCAATAAAACTATGTGCACGGCTTTCAACAGTCAGACGTGATAAAAACTGCTTCAAGTCAAGAGAATTTGAGTTCCAGTTTTGACTTCTGAAATCTACCGAATCTCTAATCTCACCTACTAAAAAAGGACAAGAAAACAAAAAACACTCTCACAAAGATTAGGAGTGTTCACAGATTGGGCAACCAGTCTACTTGCAATTTCGCTGACCCTAACAACAAATAGAGGTTCAGCAAAATTGCATTCCATACCTTAACCCGATTCAATCGGGTAACAGCTAATTCCGATTAACCTATAGGATAGGGTTGGATATATATGGTAATCTAACTCTCTTGTACTTGTGAAAAAAAAAAATAGAATTTGATTAACTAAAAAGACAGTACAACAATTATCCAAATTAATAACAGTGTTTAATCTTACAAATCTAAAAAAATCACCAACAAAATAGAAAATCAATACACAATAGATAATTAAAACACAAAATATTCTGAACATTTATTTTCATTTTCCCTACTTTTTGAAAATTGTTAGTTCACTTTTTATTAAGGATGACAAGTTATTTCACAACCAAACATGTAATCTCTAAAACTCAAAAACAAAAAAAGTACAGCGGTGAAGTCGATAGAATTTATGAGACAGGAAAAGAAATTTTGAAGAAAGACAAAAAAAATAGAGTAATAGAATAAATGAAATTATTTGCAATGAATGTAGGAAAAGCAAATTGAAGATAAGGTTAAATATACAAGTTTGTAAGTTATGAAAAATAAAATATATAATAGCATGGGTCTCGTAACTTAAATTATTAATGAATAACTAAATAATTATGAGTTGGGGTCTTAGTTACTAGTTATCTTAACCAACCTCACATATATATATGGGTAGGTTCGGGTAATCGTAGTTTTTGAAAATTGAAAACCATACCCTAACCTAAATTTTCAAGTAGGTTCGGGTAACTTAACCATTTTGAAAACTACGGAATCATTACCCAGTTTTTTGGTTTGGACCAATTTAGTTTTCTCGATTACCTACTCTTGCAGTTCTTTTGATCACCCCTAACAAAGATATCCTTGGAGAGAATAAAGCTCTCCCTAAAAAAATTTAGAGAAAAATAATCTCTCACTAGGAAATCCTACAAGAGAACGATCTCTCACTAAAAACCCCCGAGAGAGAATTTAAACAAATAAATGAAATAAAACTACAGAAAGGGTCCCCTCTTATGAGAAAGATTAGATTATCTAGTCTCTCTCCATGGGAGGGTCAAATGAGGTTTTAATTGGAGGAATTTTAAAGAGAAGGAAGAGAAAATAAATTCTAGAGAGAGAAGAAAGAGTGAAAATTGAAATCAAATTTACATTCACTAAATTGAAGTCGAATTGAATTGAAATAAAAAATTGATTTAAATAATCAATTAATCGATTTTGTCAATTTTCCTATTTGGTATAAAAGCATAAAAATCTATTTGCGGTTAACCAAAATATCGAGATTGGTTGTGGTTAATCGATTTTGTCTATGCTAATAATTAAGTTAATATCTAATACCATGTACATACTCTCTTCCTCCTTTGTAAGAAGCTCTCTTCCCTCTCTCTTAAAAACTCTCTAACCATAAAGTCTTCGGACTCTCGCATGAAAGAAAGATCAAATTTTTCTGATCTTTGCCTATAAGAAGAGCCTCTCTTGTTTCTTTTCATTTGTGTGAATAAAGTCTCTCTTAAAATTTTTTAGTGAGAGTTTTCTCTCTCTTAAACTTATCTAGTGAGAGTTTTCTTCTCTCATAGAATTCCCTAATGAGAGTTTTAGATAGCTTTTTTTTTAATTTTTCTATTATTAGATCTGAGTTTTTTA